CATTCATGGAAATTGTTATTATGATTTAGTATAAATAAATCAGAAGAAATTGGATTAACATTGTTGGCATATCATCATAAATAAAATCTAGAGACATGGTAAAAAATCAATAATAAATAAAAGTATTTTTGCATTCAAAAAAATAGATTATAACTGAAATCATCAATGATTTATCATTGATAAAAAAGCAAAGTATGTATACCTGAAGACATCAGCAATTTATTATAAATATAAATATACTTTGTTGCACGGATTTTTCTGCACAACAAATTATTGGCTGCCAACACTGGTCACATGACGAATTTTAAATTCTAGGATTGGGTTTCCAATACCAATTAAAATAATTAATTAAAAAATTTTTTTTTTATAATAAATGTCATTTGCAAAAAATTTCATTCGACCCAAATTTACATTAACAACTACTACATTACCTCTTGAAATTTTAAAATTTCAAACTTTCAGTAATAAAAATTTTCAAAGAGGTTAAGTATCCCGATTAATAAAAAATTGACAAAAGCAATAATAAATTTAAAATTGTTTAATTGACAATTAAATTGTTGTAGGGGAACTTAGTAATAGTTTTATACAAAAAAGATGGGCAACAAAAAAGGCAGGTGGTTCAACACATAATGGACGTGATTCTGCTGGGAGAAGATTAGGAGTAAAGAAATTTGGTGGTAAGTTTCTATTATATATTATATATATATATATATATATAATATATTTGTTTATTAAAGATACTTGATGAAATTATATAAATAGATGAATATGTTGAAATTGGAAACATAATTGTAAGACAGAGAGGAACTCGATTTCATCCAGGAGAAAATGTAATGTTGATTGATTGATTGATTGATTGATTTGTTGGTGGAATGATTATAAATAATAATTGTTTTCATATTTGTTATAAAGGTAAAATGTGGAAAAGATGATACATTATATGCGATACAATCAGGATTTGTACGATTTTATAGGGATCCCAAAAAACCAAAAAAAAGATTAGTAGGGATAGTTTTTGATCGTAATGATAAATTACCTAGATTACCGACTGAGCCAAGATCACGTAAATTTGAGTTTATTGATTTAGTGTCATATAGGAATGAGTTGAAATTATCAAGAGAAAAGGCGGCATCAAAAAAACTTGAAAATTAATAAAATAAGAAATGACATCTGATTACTGGCATATGCAACTAACATACTAAATTATGAGAATAATATAATGAAATTTATCTTTTAGCTTGACCATCTCATTGATTGCAAATTCCAATTTCTTTGATTCTTTAGTATTGGTAGTGTTTCTACAAATATTTGCTAGTTATTTTTGTAACTCACGCGAGATTATAAATAGGTCAGTGATACAAGTATCTTTTAATTGGAAGAATTTAAGTTTGACAATTTTTAAAATCTCAATAGACAATGCATATTTTCTTACCTGTGTTTTAATTTTACATGTGATTTAAACCAACAATCGTCCCATTTTAATTCTCAAGCCACCCAAGTATGTGTAACTTGGATGATTTTATAACAGTAAATAGCATTTCTAAAATTTTCAATTAAAATGGCTTCCACATTTATTACTGCTAATAACACACCTAGAAAACTTAATGTGAATTTACCAAGATATCCTTATAGATTGCTTGATGAAGCAACCAGGAGGGAAAAGGAAGCACTTGCACAAAAACATGAAGATGAAGAGGTGGAATATATATATATATAATTGCTTTTTATCATGTAATAAGATAAAACCTTTAAAGATACCAAATTTTATATTTTTTGATATTTTTTAGGCTAGAAATAATAATAAGCCAGATATGATTACAAAATTAGATATATTTAAAACAGACTCATTTTTGAATGATGATAAAGCCATCATTGTAAATTATCCATTTTTGAAGAACAGACATGAAGATGATAACGTCCTAAAACATTTTTTCAATGAGTGTAGAGATGTATTTATTGAATATATATATATATATATTTATTTTTTTTTGATATTGGGGAATTTTTGGTGATAAATATTTTTCATGATTAGCAATAATAATAATAATATGCTAATTTGTAATTTGTTTATTACTATACAAATACTAAAATTATATAAAAGGGGTACGCAACTATTCCTCAAGTAGTCATTGATTCCCTTGAAAGAATGCTTGGAGATATTTCAGGACTTCCACGCACTGTTAATTTTTTATCATTGCCACCACCACCACCACCATCATCATCATCATCAAGTCAAAATTATGAGAATATAGAGATTGGTAATGGAATCCTAGAAAAAAAAGAAAGCGATAACAATCATAAAAATGATTCTGATATTATTCCTTATAGCCTGAATGGATTTTCAAATAGTTCAAAAAAAATCATGAAATCAGATATCAAGAATATGAGCAAAGAAAAGGTGATTCTTATAATTTCACATAAAAATTAATTTGCTGTTTGTTATTTTACTCATTAATTATTAATTATTAATTATTAATCACAATTCCTATTTTTCATTTCTTAGACAAATGCTGGCTTTGGACCAATTCATGGTGAAGCAAGGCAAAAAATTATTGATAACCCAAACAATAATAAAGAATTTGACAAACTTGATGATATTTTATCACTACTTCAAGAATTACGGAATAATGACCATAACATCCATGAGATTATGACACAATCACAAACTTTTCAAAGACACATAGAAAAGTTAGAGTCAGAACTTAAACAAACAAATGCTCAATTGAACACTGAAACAAAAAAGCATTCTGATGAAACACATAGCTTTAAATTAAAAGAAAGTCAACTTCGATCTGAGATAACTGCACTAAAAAATGGTTCATTACAGCAAGAAAACAAAATTAATCTTGCACATAGTCAATTGAAATCGCTTGAAAAACAAAATCAATCATTTATCCAAGAAAATGATAAACTGAAACAATCAGAAAGAAATCTGGAAATTAAAATTTGTAAGATTGATGCTGATTTGGCAAGCGCAAGAACAAAAATCTCTGAACTTGAGCATGAAAATCAACATAAGCTTGCTGAAAATGATAATTCATGGGAGAACAAAGAAAATTCTTTAAAATCAGAGCTTTATGCAACTGAACGATCATTGAAAGAGCTCAAAGCATATCAAGAACAATTGAAAGCTGGTGCATCAATTGATCAAATAATAAAAGATCGTCAAGGAGAGCTTGAAAAGCAGTTGAAAGATCTTACTGCAAAGAGTCGTGAGTCGAAAAATTCAAATGAAGGATTAAAAATTCAAGAATCAGCTCAGTCAAAAAGTAAAAATCAGGAGTTGGACAATATTCAATTACGTAGGAGGATTCAAGACCTTGAGAAAAGGTTGTCTGAAGCTCAATCAAGCAGAAATGCAGAAAATGAGTTAATCAATAAAGAACTCAGTGTTCTTCGAGCAGAAAACAGTCGTCTCAAGACTGAAACAAAAGAATCTTCAGAAATCCATAGAAAGAATCAAAGCCTCGAAGAACAAACTGCTGAACTTTCAAAGTTAAGACCTCATATTAAAAGTTTGGAAAAGCATGTTGCAGAACTTGAGAGAGTCTGCCAACACATGAGTGAATCAGAATCTCATGCTGTTGATTTACTTGAACGAAATAAAGACTTGGAGAATCAAGTAGCCGAGCTTAGTGTGCTCCGTAAACGTTTAAGAGATTCAGATAATCAAATAAATGAATTGCGTAGTATTCAAAAACGGATCACTGAGCTAGAAACTGTACAAACTGAATATGATATGCAAAAGTTAGATTTTGACAAAATGCTTCAAGAAAACAAAGTTCTTAAGCAAGAGAATGTTTCCAAATCAGAAGAGCTGAAGCAATATTATCAAAATATGATGGCAGAGCTTGAACAAGCTAATTATGAAATATCCAATTTGAAATCACAAGTCCTTGAAATTGAAAAAGAAAATAAAAATTTGATGGCAGAAAAAAATCAATTACAAAATTACGTAAATTCATCTCTTGACTTACCAAGAGCATCAAACATGGATGATAACTATTCTGCTGCCACAATTACAAATTATGAAATTCGTGGAAGAGGAACATCTGAAATTCCTCACATGCAAGCAACAAATAATGATTGTTATTATTATAATAATAATCATAATGGTTTTAACAATAATGCCAATATTGGCATAAATCCTTCATCAACACAATATCAACAACAACAACCAAAACTATCATATCAAATGAACCTACAATCTACTGAAAATCCAAATCCACAACCATTTATTCAAAATCAATCAACAGTTCAACCACAATTCTCTCAAAATCAAGATGAACCACAAACTCAATATATTCCGCAAATACAATCATGTGCTCCACAACTATTAACTGAGGGATTAGTGGTAATGAAACACTAGATGAGTTGACTAAAGTACATAACTGGATATGGTAATTATTATTGTCTTCAATGGATTCCTATAATGATTTAACAAATATCAAATAGATAGGTAAATGTGGCTTTGCATATATATATATAAAGCTACTTGGATAGATGGTGATATAATGGTGAAAGAGATAGTGAAGATAGAATTGTGGCATTGAAAAAAATTACATTGTTCATAAAATATTTCTTTCAAAGTCATGTACAATGTTGTGGTTAAAGCTCCTCACAAGCTGGCTCATGCAGAGCCTTAGTTGTGGTTTCTGGCTTTTGACTGGTTCATGAATGTTTTCCCACCCAAAGCTGAAGCACAAAGTGCCTATTGTGAGAGTTATGCCATAGTGGATGCAAAGTATCCTGGTTTGCAAATGCGCAATGATGTAATTTTTCATCAAAATGATGCATTGATCAAGTGGTCTAATAAATTATTACAAAAACGTACAAATATATATGCTCATGAGAAATTTGAGCACTAGGATCATTGCTAAATTTAGACTAGTTTTGGAATATCATTCCTAAATTTAGCCTAATACTCGACCAACATATCTAAATTTGGCAGTAAGTAAAATAGTTTTTTAACCAAAATCACGTGTAACACTTTTTTGCATTTTTGAACGAATCACGAAATTGCAATTTTTGAAATTTGAGCGCGTGGCGCAGCAATAAGAGGTCTTTAGACCGAGCCAACCATAGTAAAGTACATGTTTTAAAAAAGAATAGAACTCTACAATAAATAATTTTTTGGAGAAAATCTCTTCATTACATTAAAAGTAGAAACCTATTTTACCAACTAATGAGGCTATTTTTTTAAAAGGTAGGACAGAAAATGACTTCTATACTTTTAAAATTTGCCCAAAATTTAGGAGGTCTTTAGACCAAGCCAACTATAGTTATTATTGATTGATTACAGTCAGGGACAGTGTATAAAATTCAATACCCGCAATTCCCGAGTGTAACGTCATACATTAGTAATTTCCTGCAGATAGTTTCTAAATTTGTAAAATTGCTTCTAAATTTGTACTAGTTACACACCGAAATTTATATACTGATCAGGGAATATACTAAATTTGGTATTTCCTAATTTATAAATGATAAGCATTCTGGAATTTCTGGAAGAAATTTTGGAAGAAATTTGATTAGCTAAATTTTATGCAACATATATGAATTGATCAACAAAGAAGCATAAATTGTTCTGGAATTGATTTCCAAATTTGGTATATTCCCTGACTGGATTACATTTGACCTCCTGTAGTTATGCAATGTCCTGCAACTAAAAGAATTTTGGAATACTGTCTATATGTAATGCAACTATATAAATTATGAATGTTTATTTGTATGTGTGACAATCTGTATTTCTTTTCATCTTGATTTTAAACTTTTTTTTTTTTAATAAATAATTTTATGTCTTAATCATCTTAACAGCATATCAGTCAGGTGGGTTGAATTTCTCTTAGTTAATGACCATGACAGAGAGACAGAGAACATAGAGCCTAATAAGCAAGAAGGAGTGCCTGTGACAGAGAGCAACTGTTGGAAGCAAGCAATTGTGAGTAATCATCAAGTGATGGTTGGCTGACTTCATTGTGCAGTATCTATGAGGGCTTGTTTGACACAAAGGGCACCTGCAATAGAGAGAAACTGTCAGAAGCAAGCAATTGCAAGTTATCATCAAGCAATGGACAGCCCTATGTGAAGAACAGCCCAATTTATTCAGTGTTGGAAATTGAGTGCGGGGTTTGTGTTACCTAAGAAATGTGCACATTTGTGACTATGGTTGGCTCGGTCTAAAGATCTCCTATTGCTGTGCCATGCGGCCAAATTTCAAAATAGCAATTTTGTAATTTGTTCAAAAATGTAATAAAATTTTTCAAAAAATATGACTTCACATGATTTTAGTTTTCTTACTGCCAAATTTAGATGCGATAGTCAAGAGCTAGTCAAAATATGATAATATTTTTCCTAAATTTAGAGATGATCATAGTGGACAAATTCCTCGCAAGCATAGTAAAGTACATGTTTAAAAAAAGAATAGAACTTTACAATAAATAATTTTTTTGGGAAAATCTCTCTATTACATTAAAACTAAAGTCATATTCTATCAACTAATAGAGCTATTTTTTTAAAAGTAGGACAGAAAGTGACTTTTATACTTTTAAAATTTGCCCAAAATTTAGGAGGTCTTTAGACTAAGCCAACTATATTTAATTCAGAGAATTGTTATTCGCACCCCTTCTGTGACTAAAACAAAGATGAACCAATAAAATCATCACATTTTAAAGCCATTCATTGGTTACATTACTACACTTAGTCACGGGAGGGGTGCGAATAACAATTCACTTAATTTATTATTATATATATATATTAAAAAATATCTTGCCGATCATCACCAATTTTGCCACAGCAGACTTCTTATCATACATAATAATAACTGGCGAGGTTTGACTGTATACAGTTCACTCTCTCTATAATGAACCCTCTGTCCCTATATGTAATTTCTCTGCTTTTGGTCGTTATAGAGAGAGTTTATTGATATGGTTGTTATAGAGAGAGAAATTAATTATAAAAAATTGAAACGGGGACAAAAGGGAAGTTCGTTATAGAGAAATTTTACTTAGTGGTCGTTATAGAGAGAGTAGACTGTACCAATTACAATGAAGACAAAAAAGGTGATTTTTTATTTAATCAAAAATATTACACACGAAGGTAATGGTATTTAAGTCCCATTGATGTAATTGATATAATGGCATCTACAAGGGAGAATCATGATTCTTATACATCAAAAGATGGAAAAAAAAATCAACAATGTTTCAGTTATGCAACAAAAAGGAATTCTCATCAATACTGGTGATGAGAAATTGGCATTAGCATTGTAATGCATTATATAAAGCAACAAGAAAACAAAGAAATGTCCCAGAAAAATTAATCAAAGACAGATACATCAAATAACACATTCAAACCAGGAGATTGTATTTTTGAAAAAAGTCTGGAAAGATAGCACCCCCTACTTTAAAACAATTGAGCATCAATATAAAAAAATGTTACACATATGTAAAAAGGGGATGTTATCTTTCTGGACTTTACGGTAATTGTGGCATATAAAAATCGAATTGTGGTTGTGGTTGTGGCATATGAAATTGAATTGTGGCTAATTGCAGTTTCCATCTTTAGTATTGAGTTGAATATGTTGAAGCATATGGTTCCAAAACTCTTTAGTTAGTTTTCCTAACAGTATTCTACCTTCATTAACATGTTAGATAAGCTGTGGTCCCTGTGCTCTTGGCCCATATGAAACTTCAACATAAAACAAATTCAAAATGATATTTTTCTTTGGTCCCCCATATGTACCACAGATAATCAGGGTGACTTACTTGGCTCTGTTTGTTATTTCTGTTCTTTTTTTGTTGCTTGTGATATCTTTCCATAGTGTTGTGCCATTTATGTTTCCAATAAATTTTCATTGTATTTGGAACATTCAACAAATTCCAATTGGAATTGGTATATATGGGGCATGCTGCAACAAAACCAGACAAAGTGAACATTGGTGTTACCAATGATTTCAGGGATCAAAATTTAATGCAATTATAATTAATAGTTATAATATCCCATTTGTTATCTTAAGTGATATATAGAATTATCCCTATACAAAAATAGTTAATATGAAACTCATTTACATCAGATCTACTATGGAACCCAAGAATTACAGCACCATCAG